GCTGTGGAAGGTCGGTAGTTCAGCAGTTTGAGACCCAAGTGTGCCGCATGACGGAGTGAGCTCCTGTCTCTAGTTCCAGCTCCTGCCAACCTAGCAGTTCGAAAGCAAGAAATTGTAAGTAGATAAATAGGTACCACTTCGGTGGGAAGGTAACAGCGTTCCGTGCGCCTCGGTGTTTAGTCATGCCGGCCACATGACCACGGAAACATCTTCGGACAGCGCTGGCTCTTCGGCTTTGAAACGGAGATGAGCACCGCAACCCTAGAGTCGGATTCGACTGGCTTTCGAGCAAGGGAACCTTTACCTAAGAAAAACATTTTGCTTGTTGTTCAGTATACTTTTGAGGGGAAACATATAGTCTTAGCATAGCTAGATTTGAGTCAAGTAGCACCTTAAAGACCAACAAAATTTGGGGGTTATAAAGCTTTCAAGAGTAAAAGTTCGGATTTGACTGGCTTTCGAGCAAGGGAAACCTTTACCTTTACCTTTACACTTGAGCCACCGCAGCCCCAGCCTGGGCCGTATAGGTCTTGGCTATTGTAATGCATTCTACGTGGGTCTGCCCCTGGTCAACTAGGACACTCCAGTAGGGACAGAATGCCCCCCAGTGCAGTTACTGTGGGGATCTTAACAAACGTTCAGTGGCCCGTTGAAGACCAACAAAGTGTAATTCTGGGCATAAGCTTTTATGTGCATGCTGTAGATCTTTCACATGAAAGCTCATACCCAGAATTAAACTCTGTTGGTCTTCAAGGTGCCACTGGACCCAAACTTCGTTCTGTTGCTTCTGACCAGCATGGCTTCCCCCTAGACTCTCTCTCTCTCTGTGGGGATCTAGGCAGAGCATGCACATGGCACGCATTATGCACATTTACACCCATTGGCTGCCCGTTGTTCACCAGGGTCAGGCTGCCTTCATGGCCTTGGTCTGTCCCACCTGCAGGGCCTCCTCTCTCCCTGTGTGCTGCCGTGACAGCTTAGCTCCTCTGAACAGGATCTTCGGCAGGTGCCACGCTGCAAATGGGCAGGATCAACAACGGCCCTTACCTGTACATTCCTTATTGTAACCCCCACCTTGTGAAATGGCCTGCTGGTCATTCCACAAATGACACAAAACAGAATTGTTCAGGAGGGCACTTCATAAGAGGATGAGGCCAATGTTGGATGAGGCCAAAGAACATAAGAACATAAGAGATGCCAATGTTGGATCAGGCCAAAGGCCCATCCAGTCCAACACTCTGTATCACACAGTGGCCAGAAATACCAGGTGCCATCAGGAGGTTCACCAGTGGGGCCAGGACATTAGAAGTCCTCCCACTGTTGACACCCCCCCTCCCAAGCACCAAGAAGACAGAGCATCACTTGCCCCAGAGCCCCTATCTATAACTTGTGGCTAATAACCACTGATGGACCTCTGCTCCATATGCTTATCTAATTCCCTTTTGAAGCCATCCATGCTTGTAGCCGCTGCCACTTCCTGGATGTATGCCATCTGGGCCTGGTGATTTATCAGTTTTTAAGTTGTCTATCAGTTTTAGGACCTCCTCTCTCATCACCACAATCTGACTCAGGTCTTTCAACACCCCTCCCAAAATCAGCAGTTCTGGAGTGGGCAAGCACTTCTCATCTTCCACAGTGAAGACAGAGGCAAAAAATGCATTTAGCTTCTCAGCCATTTCCCTATCATCCTTCAGTAATCCTTTTACCCCTTGGTCATCCAAGGGCCCCACTGCCTCCCTGGCTGGTTTCCTGCTCCTAATGTATTTGAAGAAAGTTTTATTGTTGGTTTTTACGTTTTTTGCTATATGCTCCTCATATTCCCTTTTTGCCTGCCTGACCTCAGACTTGCATTTTATTTGCCATAGCCTGTGGTCCGTTTTATCAGCCTCACTGTGACTCGCTTTCCACTGCTTAAAGGAATCCTTTTTACCTTTTACAGCTTCCATTACTTTGTTTGTTAACCATGCAGGCTTTTTCCTATACCTGTTTGTGCCTTTCCTAACCTGCGGAATATTTTTTTTTTTTAGCTTCTAGGATCGTAGTTTTAAATAGTTTCCAAGCTTCCCCAATGTTTTTGACCCTTTCTACTTTTCCTTTCAGTTTCCTCCCCATATGTCCCCTCATATCAGAGAAGTTACCCCTTTTAAAGTTAAAAGTGGTTGTGTGAGTCTTTTTGGCCAATTCTCTATTTGTACAAATGTTGAACTCAACAACATTATGATCACTGTTCCCAAGCGGGGCAATCTCTTTTACATCTCTCACCAGGTCTTGAGTGTTACTTAGGACCAAATCAAGGATTGCCTCTCCCCTGGTTGGTTCCGTGACCATCTGCTCCATAGCACAGTCATTTAGAGTGTCTAGAAACTCAGTCTCTTTTTCCCGACTAGAACACATATTGACCCAATCAATGTGTGGGTAGTTAAAATCACCTATTACGACACAGTGTTTTTGTCTAGCTGCTATCTTTAATTCATTCATCATTTTATACTCCTCCTCTATCTTTTGATCTGGTGGGCGATAACAAACTCCCAGTGTTAAGTTTCCTTTTGGCCCCCCTATTTCAACCCATAGAAATTTTACTTCTGTAAAAGGAGTCGAGCAACAGGATGACAGAACGATTCAGGAGGGCCCTTTTGTGAACTCCTGGCCGGTGCCGCTGTGTGGGCCACAGGATGGCTGGCTGTTGCCTCTGTTATCCCACTTTTACTACATTGTATCTACTTCCACAATTCCATTTTCTGCATCACTTGATAGATCAGCTCTGATATTTTTCTGCCTTGTTCCTAATTTTTGTAATACTAGTCTTATTGCATTGCTTATTAGATTTCTCATGCTATTTGATTACAATGTTTTATACCATGTAAAAACCACCTTGAGTCTTAGTGCGAAGGGTGGGTTACAAACAAACAAATAAATAAACCAGGTGTTGCTGAAAAGGTTCCTACTCAGTTTTTCTGGTAGTAAAAGCAGTATTTCTGTGGGAGTGGCCGAGGGTCTGGTATCCTGGCCTTCTGTTTGTGGACAGGTGAGAAACTCAGCGGACTAGAAGTCTTGAAGGAACCTGCAATTAAAATGGTATCTCTGTGAAGAAGTCCAACTTTTTATCTGTGAATGTTAATTTTCCTGAGTCTGCAGTCAGAGGAATTTGCAGGTGTGTTGATATCTGTAGTTTGGCAGTTCGAGACCCGAGTGCTGCGTGACGGAGTGAGCTCCCGTCTCTAGTTCCAGCTCCTGCCAACCTAGCAGTTCGAAAGCAAGAAATTGCAAGTAGATAAATGGGTACCGCTTTGGTGAGAAGGGAACAGCGTTCCGTGCGGCTCGGCATTTAGCCATGCCAGCCACATGACCATGGAAACATCTTCGGACAGTGCTGGCTCTTCAGCTTGGAAATGGAGATGAGCACTGCCCCCTAGAGTCGGATTTGACTGGCTTTCGAGCAAGGGAAACCTTTACCTTTATGATATCCTTTCACTTATGCACTTGGGGCAGGGTTTGCTTTGAAGTGCGCTATGCTGTCATGGGTGGTCCAAGGCTAGCCCAGTTTCACGGCATCTCGTAAGCTAAGCAGGGCCGGCCTTGGTTAGTCCTTGGAGGGGAGACCACCAAGGAAATCCAGGGTTGCTATGCAGAGGCAGGCAAGGGCAAAGCCACCTACGTTTGTCTCTGCCCTGACTTGGGAGATCTCCAGCCACCAGCTGGAGGTTCACAACCGTGATGCATTTCTGTTCCTATAAATGGAAGGTGCCAGATCCAGGGCCACATGCCCCGCCCAGCTGCAGTGAATCCCAGAATCAGGGAGCTGGAAGGGACCTCCAGGGTCATCTCCTCCAACCTTCTGCAGAAGGCAGGAAATCCACAAATACCTCCCCCTCCACACCCCCAGTGACCCCTGCTCCATGCCCAGAAGATGACCAAAATACCTCCAGGATCCCTGGCCAAGCTGGCCTGGAGAAAAATGGCTTCCTGACCCCAAAGTGGCAATCAGCGTTTCCCTGGGCATGTAAGAAAGGGCCACGAGAACTAAGCACTGAGGCAACCCTCCCTGCCCTCCCTCTCATGATCTGCCTTTCTAATGTTTAGTCAAAAACACTTGATTTAATCTCAACCCGTTGGTTCTGGTCCGACCTTCTGGGGCAACAGAAAACAACTCCGCACCATCCTCTATCTGACAGCCCTTCAAGAACTCGAAGATGGTTCTCATATCACCTCTCCGTCATCTCCTCTCCAGGCTAAACATACCCAGTTCCCTCAACCCTTCCTTATAGGACTTGGTCTCCAGACTTCTCCCCATCTTTGTTGCCCTCCTCTGGACATGTTCCAGCTTGCCTATATCCTTCTTAAGTTGTGGTGCCCAGAACTGAACCCAATACTCTAGGTGAGGGTCTAACCAGAGCAAAGTAAAGTGGTACCATCACTATACTTCTGTTGATACAGCCCAAAATGGCATTTGCCTTTTTAGCTACCACATCACACTGCTGACTCATGTTCAGTGTTTCATCTTCCAAGACCCCTGGATCCTTTTTGCACATACTACTACTGCCAAGGCAAGTCTCCCCCAACCTATAATTATGCATTTGATTTTTTTTTCTACCTAAATGCTGATCTTTACATTAACCCCCATTGAAGTTCAGGGTCGTACATACCGCTTTTCACCCCAGGCACTCATTTCATCTTGATTTGACATGAACCGTGGTGCCTCCTTGTGTGGAGTTTTTGGGGGTCGGGAGGGGCAGAGGCCACACTGAGGGGGCTGGGCTCTTTGCTTGACACCCCTTGCAGAGTCACTGAAGGAACGGGAGAACAAGCCCTGTGGCCCTGCTGCCGTGGCTGGTCGTAGGGGTCTTCCCTCTCTCAGACGGAAGAGGGGTTCCTCTTGCTAAGCTGCCGTGGCCGCCACTCCCCCCCCCCCGGGGAGGGTAACTCTTCCCTTGGCCATGGTGGGCATGGCGCCAGAGCCCTGTGACAGGCGCCAACGTGCTGGTTTCTGACTTCCCCGACAGGTTGTGAAGACCATTGGCCTGCGAGAAGTTTGGTTCTTTGGACTTCAGTACCAGGACACAAAGGGCTTCTCAACATGGCTTAAACTGAACAAAAAGGTATTGATGCTTGTTCTTTGTACTGTCTCTCTGTCGCCTTCCCAAACAGGAGGGAGCCTGCCTTTCTCAAGCAGCCCTTCAACTCAACACCCGTGTAAGCTCCCGCCCCCCCTCCCCCCCCCTGTAGCCCTCTGCCTTCCTCCCCCCAAGCCCTGCGGCATAGCAGCAGCAGCAGCAGCATCATCCCAGAAGTGCTGGCAGAGAGATGTGCAATAAGAGTTGGTGCTCCAGAGAAATTGGCTGCCCACATCCAGTTTCTGATGCCTGCTTTACCTGAATGAGGACCCTGCTCTCAGGCGGAAATGGCCTTGGCCTCTTCCCATCCCCCCGCCCCCCCATCTCCACATTTCTGTTTACGTGTGCTTCCACAGTAAGGTCCCTGGGGTACTGTCATAGATGCTCTGTGTGTGTGTGTGTGTGTGTAGATGGTGAGGGGAACCTGCGATGTCGCCCCTTCCAGAGCAGCAGACAGTTCTCTACTCCCCCCCCCAACCCCCCACAGACCACTGTTCCTCCTGCCCCTCTTAACCCTTGGAGCAGACCAGGTACTGCAGTCCACAGCTTTGGGGGTTTAACCAGAGGGAGCCTGGTGTATCCCCCCACACACACACACACCCTTGATCCCCCTGGCCACACTTCGTGTCATGAAGGAATGAAGGCACAGAGGGGCAGGACACATGGGCCTCTGCCTGCAGGCCTGGAGCGCTGCTGCAACGGAGGTCGGCTTTAGGCCAGGCGCTCTCACAAGGACAGCAGACTGCGCTCTGTCAAAGAAGACGATGGCCCAGACCAAGGGAAGGCCAGCAAGAAAGCAGCACAGAGCGCTTTCACACTGGGAATGCTGAACTGGTCCTCGGCGTGCCCACAGGGCTTCCTGATCCAACCGCTGCCTCTGCGGGCCTGAGCTTCTCAAGGGGGGCACCCATCCCCATCCACAGCAGCCCCCCGAACTCTTTGGGAGGAGAGGTTTATCAGAGTCAGTCCCCCTTTGCCACACTTTCCCACCTGAATGGGCAAGGGCTAATCCTGGGCGGCCGAGGGCAGGAAGGAGAGGATGAAGTCCACCTTCCCGGGGAGGGAGAGTTTGGTAAAAAGCACACAGACTTTGTCTAGGGAGTTCAGGCCGTTGTGGGTGTCTAATAATATCACTCTAGGAAGAAGAGGCCGCAGAGGGCCAGGAACACTGGTCATGAAGCAGGAGGACTGTGAATGTACCCAGGGCACCTGTGCCCACAATTCTTTGCAGCTGCATTGCGCATCCTCTTGGGCTGGGCTGGCCTTCTGAAGTCAGTCCTGCTTCCGATTCTCTGCAGGTGACGGCACAGGATGTCCGGAAGGAGAGTCCCCTGCTCTTCAAATTCCGGGCCAAGTTCTACCCGGAGGACGTGGCAGAGGAGCTGATTCAAGACATCACGCAGCGCCTCTTCTTCCTCCAAGTGAAGGAGGCCATCCTGAATGACGACATCTACTGCCCCCCCGAGACCGCCGTCCTCCTGGCCTCCTATGCCGTCCAGTCCAAATACGGGGACTTCAATAAAGACGCGCATAACCCCGGCTACCTGAGTGGTGACAAACTGTTGCCCCAGAGGTACGTCCCACCTGGCACCCTTCTGGGTGGTTGTGTGGGGGGGTGTGGGTGGGGGGGGGGGGGGGTAGGTGGCGTGTGGCACATCACTAGACTCTGGCTTCTGCTGCTTGAATCCTGCTTGTGAATGAAGAACAGCAAAGGCGTTGCGGAGATTTTAGTGACGTTCCATGAATGGGATACTTTCTGGCCTCTGGGGTATGTCCCGGGCCAAAGAGCCAGTGGGGTGTAGCGGATAGAGGGGTGGACTAGGACCCTGGGCAACCCAGGTTCAAATGCCCACTCCTGCCGTGGGTGCTGGCTGGGTGACCTTGGGGCTGTCACAGTCTCTCAGCCTGGCCTGCCTCACAGGGTTGTTGTGATGAGAAAAGGCAGTGGGGAGAATGATGTTCTAAAAGCCATTTTGAGTCCCAACTGGGGAGAACAGCAGGATATGGATGCATGCCTTGCCAAGGGGGCCTCCTGCCCGGTGCAGTTGTTTCTCCACAAGCTGGGAAGCGGGCAGTCAGCAACCCCTACTGTGTGCAGAGCAGCTGAGATGGCCAAAACTCTCCCCATTTTGCCTCAGAGGCTGCTGCTTGAGTATGTTTTGGCTTTGTGGAATGAACAGCTCAGTTGCACCCTGTGAGCATGACGTTCCCCTGCAGTCTGGTTGCCAAACGGAACTTCCTCAGCCGCAGCGTCCTGCAGGAGAGCCCTGCGGTGCCCCCATCGCCCTTGGGGGGTTCCCAGGAAGTGAGGCAGCAGGAGAAGGAGCAGGTGCAAGTGTGGCCGGGGGGGGGGAGACTTCCTTTCTCAGAGGACACCGAAGGACGGCTCCAGAGCAAACTAATTTATGCCATAGTGAAATTGCTCACTCACAACTCTAATGCCAGTAGCTCACAGAGTAGAATTTTTGCTCACAAGACTCCACAGCTTAGAGGGAACATTGGTGGGGAGGTAAGACCTTGAAACATGTGGCAAGAGGGAAGACAGTCCGGAGCGCAAGAATGGCATTGTAGGTGAGGGCGGTTTCACTCAAGATGCCACTTATGGGGAGTGAATCTCTGTGGAGGTTTTTTACAAAAATCTACACCAGTCCCCCGTGTGCTTGGCCAGGGATCCTGGAGGAGGTTTCTCCTCCCCCCCTCCACCCTTCTGGGCAAAGAGCAGGGGTCACTGGGGTGTGTGTGGAGGGGGAGGTATTTGTGACTATTGCAGGGGGTTGGACTAGAGGACTCTGGAGGTCCCCTCCAACTCTTACGATGCTTTGATTCTATTTGGAAGCAGCTCTGCTCCCGACTTATTTTTCTTTCCTTTGTTTCCCAGAGTTTTGGAACAACACAAACTCAGTAAAGATCAGTGGGAAGAGAGGATCCAGGTGTGGCATGAAGAACATCGGGGAATGCTCAGGTAAGCCAGAAGACTATCAGAGCGCTGCAAGCTTCTGAAGTCACACTGTGACGCTGTTTCACTCCCGCGTGGATGCAGGTCATGTTTCCTTGCTCAAGCTCTGCCTCCGGACCACAGCTGTGTGGGGGTTCAGCGGCTGCGCTCAGGGTAGCCATGCAAGCTCAGCCTGCTGTCCCTTTTCCTTGGGTGGAACCAGCTGCAGCTCCGCCTCACGGCAGTCACCACAGCTGCCTTTTCATCGCTCTCTTGAGTGTGCAGCCTGCGCTCCCTGCAGTCCCCACGGCATTGCTGCAGTACGCCATTGGCGGCATTATCTCCGTATTGTGTTCTGTTGTTATTTATGAATCCTACAGAAACATGAAATGTAAATTCTTTCTATGTGTATATGTGTGTGTGTGTGCTTTAGGGAAGATGCTATCTTGGAATATCTGAAAATTGCACAAGATCTGGAAATGTATGGTGTGAATTACTTCAGTATTAAGAACAAGAAGGGCTCTGAACTTTGGCTGGGAGTAGATGCCCTCGGACTCAACATTTACGAGCAGAATGACAGGTAACCAGAGCAGCCTTGGCTGCCTCGTATCTGCAGAGAAAGAGGCCTGCTGCGGCAGACCGCCTCTCTCTCTCTCTCGTCCAGCACCCTGTTCCCGATGAGGCCTGGCCCCTGGAGGCTCACAGGCAGGGCCTGGAGGAAACGGCCTCCTCCTGTGGTGCACCCCCAGTCCCTGGCATGCTCTCTCCTTGCTCCCGCAATGCATGTAGCGAAACTGGCGCTGATTCGGAACATGGAGATTCCATTGAGGTGTTGTGGCTCACATGCCACGCCGGGGTGGGGGGGGGGAGCAGACGATGCCACTCCTCTGCTGTCCTTCTTCAGACCCGAGACAAAGCACCGGGCCTCCTCCCACGGCCAATTCTGACCAGTCCCTTCGCCCTGACTCCTTTCCAAGACTCCTGATTCAGGCTCGTGAGTCGGGAACTGGATCCTTCCTCCAAGATACAGGACTGTGCTTCTCTTTCATCTTCACTTTTTGCAGGTTAACTCCCAAAATTGGATTCCCTTGGAGTGAGATCAGAAATATTTCATTCAATGATAAGAAGTTTGTTATCAAGCCAATTGACAAGAAAGCACCAGTAAGACTTCCTTTCTACCTTACAGTTAACCCTCTTCCCATTTTGCTGGCCAAAACCACCTGCATTCTTGTCTTGCCTTTCCGCTCAGAACAGGGCCCGTGAGCCTCCCTTCCCCCTCACGTTAGTCGCAGCAACCCTGCAGTGTAGGACTGGCCGGGGGTCCCCAGTGTGGGCCCGTGGGGTCCACCAAAACCTTTTTCTGGTGCCGCCCAGTTGTTTTTGGAGAGTGGGCTGGGCTGGGGGAGGGCTTCTTTTTGCCCATGGAGATTGGATTGGCTGGGCAGATTTTTTAGTTTTTATTTTGGCAGCAGCTGCCGCCACAGTGCAAGGACCATCGCTGGGTGACTGAGGGCGAGCTGTGGCTGCCCTTGCCTGGCTGGGCCCACCTTCTGTGGCTGCCACTTTGTGCCGTGCTGTGCCCACCGTGCTGTGCCAGGACTCCTCCGGTGCCCACGGGCTCGGGGGGGGGACCCCTCTGGGCTGGGCCGGGGGGGGAGAACGACGGGCCCGGGGCCACCCCAGGAGCTCCAGCGCAGGATGCGTCTTTGAACCCGGGCCTCCTCTTGGGCCCCAGCCCGTCTCTCCCGCCACTGTGCTACAGGCTGTCAGCCCAAGAGGGGTGCTGCTCAGCTGGAGGAACTCTGCGGTCACAGGAGGTTTGGCACCACACGAGAGCATCAAGGACTGACTGCAGAGCTGGCCGGAGGAGGGGAAAGGGCATTTCGAACTATCATCCATTTGTAGAATCGCCCACTTGTGGTGCCTCACGCCATTCATCAGCCAGAAAACTCCACTGTTGCACTCAACGTTTCCCCCTTTTTCTGAGTGTGTTCAGCTTCCTTCCATAAAAACCGCCCTGTGGCTAAAGGGGCTCCACTTTGCTTGTCAGTCTGTTATTGCACAAAAGCCCGAGTGCTGTCCTGTCACTTGCCGAATAGTTGGGTCTCCCCACTAGGGGGCATTTCGTTCTGGAAGGCTGAAATCCCAGGCCCGCAAAGGTCCGTATTTGTTCTGACGATGAGTGTTATTTGCCTAGCGTGCAGGGGTGAACCCTGTGCTTGGAGCCATGGGTTTATCCACCCTTTCCCCCCAGTACCAGGTGGTGTAGCCATGGCTGCTGTTCATTGGGATTCCCCCTTTCCCATCCATCTTTAGCAACACTGCATTTTGGATGGCCTGGGCTTGCCTTTGAGGGCCACTTGGAGCCACCACGAGCAGAACTTCCTGTCTCGGCTCCGCTGCTGGGCACGTAGCCTCTGAGCCCGGCTGCAGATGAGGGGCTCCTCCTCCTCTAAAGCCCTTGCCCGGGGGGGGGGAGCCAGGGCCACAGAGGCTCCCTGTTCCCTTGGGGCCGTGGAGGAAGGCCAGCACCTCTTCCGTCGTGGTGGCGGTCAGGGCCCAAGTCCTGCATGCTCCATGATGCCCCCAGCCAACTGTGCCTTTTGGTGACCGGTGGAAATCCACTGACCAAAAAAAGCTCTCCAACCTGGCTGTTTGATCTGCTGTTTTAATCGGGATTTATCTGGCTGTGCTGTCTGGACTGTATGGATGTTTGTTCTGCAAGCAGCTTTCAGAGTGTCTGAGCAGCTGTGTGGCGCTAGCTTGGAAAGAGTTTTCTTGTTGGTCACCTTGAGAGAGTTCAGCTTCAGACTTAACTCTCCAGTTTTGCAGCTTTCTGGTCTCTCTTCTAAGCCAAAGATTGCTGGAGGCCTGTTGGCCTTCCCGGTGTGAACAAGTTAAATGGAAGGGGGGGGGGATCAACCTTGGCATTCAGCCCTTCTGCAAAAGAAGGGAAAGTGTGTGAGTGCATTAATAATCCTAATCCTGTACTTCCCTTCCTTTGTTTCTGCAAAGGACTTTGTCTTCTATGCCCCACGGCTAAGGATTAACAAGCGTGTCCTGGCTCTGTGCATGGGGAACCATGAGCTCTACATGCGCAGACGCAAGCCAGATACCATCGAAGTGCAGCAGATGAAGGCCCAAGCCCGGGAGGAGAAGCATCAAAAGCAGATGGAGAGGTGGGTGAATTTCCCCCAAGAGGAACTGTACGGGATGTGCTCAGGGCTGGTACAGGGGGCCGGTGGTGTGACTGGCGGTTGGCGGTGGGACTAAAGGCGCCCGACGTTCCGCAGCCGAAGGGCGTCAGGTGGGGAGGGACTGGCTGCCCCCATCCAGCTGCCCGGAGGTCCCCCTGGGTTTCAGCCAGCCATGCGGAAAGTGGGATCTGCTACTCGCAGCCCTTCTTTCGGAGGAGGAGAGTGGGAGCGTGGGTCCCATCACCCTTCTCAAAGTGATCCTGCAAGGAAAGTGGCTGTTCAGTTGTTAGCACGGTGGCGGAAGGTGCCATTGGGTCGCTGCCGACCTGTGGCAACCCCTCCATGGGGTTTTCAAGGCAGGAGATGCTCAGCAGTGGCCTGCCGTTGCTTGTCTCTGCACAGCGACCCTGGACTGCCTCGGTGCTCTCCCATCTGAGTACAAATGGCCCTGCTTGCTAGCTTCCGAGACCTATCGAGACCAGGTGACCCTGGGCCATCCGGACTGGGGCAACAAATTCAGTGCAAATCCCAGCCCGTGTGCCTGCGTCGGGAACCTTGAGAATGAGCGTCTGCAGAGGCACCTGGGTGGGGCGGGCGTGGCGGAGGAGGAGGGTAGTTTCCAGGCAGCTGGAAAGGGCTCCCCTCCCTAACAGGGAGCCCCTTTTGTGTAAGGACCTCCAAACAGTGCCAGGTTTCACCAGTGTGCCCAGAGCAATGAAGCCAATTTGTTTTTGGATGACCCTCGGAGGAGGAGGCGGAGGCATTGAAAGATCCCCCCCCATTCCCAAGACGGGAGCAGGGGTGACATCCGGGAAGGGGGGGCGGGGTAAGGATGCCTGGACAGCCTGACTGCCGCCCAGGTCAGAAGGTGCCCGGGTGTGGTGGAGTCCCAGGCGTGAGCAGCACACACACATGCGCTCTCTGAGAGGCCCCGTTCCCGCCCCAGAGTCGTGACTGTTGCTTGTCTCTGCACAGCGACCCTGGACTGCCTCGGTGCTCTCCCATCTGAGTACAAATGGCCCTGCTTGCTAGCTTCCGAGACCTATCGAGACCAGGTGACCCTGGGCCATCCGGGCTGGGGCAACAAATTCAGTGCAAATCCCAGCCCGTGTGCCTGCGTCGGGAACCTTGAGAATGAGCGTCTGCAGAGGCACCTGGGTGGGGCGGGCGTGGCGGAGGAGGAGGGTAGTTTCCAGGCAGCTGGAAAGGGCTCCCCTCCCTAACAGGGAGCCCCTTTTGTGTAAGGACCTCCAAACAGTGCCAGGTTTCACCAGTGTGCCCAGAGCAATGAAGCCAATTTGTTTTTGGATGACCCTCGGAGGAGGAGGCGGAGGCATTGAAAGATCCCCCCCCATTCCCAAGACGGGAGCAGGGGTGACATCCGGGAAGGGGGGCGGGGTAAGGATGCCTGGACAGCCTGACTGCCGCCCAGGTCAGAAGGGGCCCGGGTGTGGTGGAGTTCCAGGCGTGAGCAGCACACACACACGCGCTCTCTGAGAGGCCCTGTTCCCACCCCAGAGTTGGCCACAGGGAGGGGCGGGGTTTTCCAGAGACGCTCGGATGCCTTCCCCCTTCGGTGAGCGTGGGTGCGATTCTGGCACCCTTTGAACCCGGCAAAATAAAAGAAACATGCCCAGCAGAAGGTGCAGCCAATGGTGACTGCAACCGGCCACGAGTAAAAGACTTCGGCGGGAGGGACCCAGGTCAGTGGGGAGGTTGTCTGAAGGGGCCCACGGGTTCTTGTCAGCCAGATAACTGTCTGTGGTGTCTGTGTCCCCCCCGCCCCCACCCCGCCCCTCAGAGCCTTGCTGGAGAATGAGAAGAAAAAGAGGGAACTGGCGGAGAAGGAGAAGGAGAAGATTGAGCGTGAGAAGGAAGAGCTGATGGAGCGGCTGCGGCAGATCGAGGAGCAAACCAAGAGAGCTCAGCTAGGTATGGGGCAGAGTCCCCCAGCGATGGCACCGCCAGAGGGCTCTCCTGCGCGGGTGCTGTGGGGACAGGCCACCGCATGCGTCTTGGGCCAGGAGGGCTGGGTGGGGTGCTGCGCCTCTGCCTGGGGAGTGCGGAGGGCTGCCACGCTCACTTTCTCCCTTTAGAACTGGAGGAGCAGACCCGCAGAGCGCTTGAGCTGGAGCAGGAAAGGAAACGAGCTCAGGAGGAAGCAGAGAAGCTAGCAAAAGAGCGGCAGGACGCCGAGGAGGCCAAGGAGGCCTTGCTGAAGGCGTCACATGATCAGAAGAAGACCCAGGAACAGCTGGTATGCCGGCCTTCTCCGCCACGGAGGGTTCTGCCCAGGGCACTTCCAGAAGGACAGAAGCCAGAGACAAGTCTAGGGAATTAACCCCGAGGAGCACGAAATCAAGGGCCAAGGAGGGGAATTAGAATAGATGCCAGTTTATCTTATTTGGGGCTGGGTGGTTAAGGGCCCGGGCAGGGGAATTCAGACAAGTGGTGGTGGTGGTGGTGGTGGTGGTGGGCACTGCGCAGAAAGCACATCAGCCTGCGTGAGGCAGAGTCCACATTAACCCGGTGGCCATGGCTGGCAGCAGCTCCCAAAGGAAGCCAGTTATGGGCAGCCATATCGTCCAAGATCCTTTGCATAGGAGGAGCCACTGCTCCCAGGGCATTGGATGCTTTCCTTAGGCTTTGAGAATCGCAGCGTGGTGCAGAGCATCTGAATGGGATGCTGAGTAAGACTTGCAGGGGAACTGAGCTTTGAGGATATCCTTGTGACCTCTGATGCCCTAGACAGGTATGGCATGCTGGATTGTGTTTCCAGAACAGTGGCGGAGGAGGGGTGTGTGTGTCCTGTATTCCAAGAAACCTCTGTCTCTAGGAGGTGCAGGTGGCTATGTTGGTACCCACGGGAACGGCAGACGGGACTCGGTAAACATGTTGCCTTCATCTGCTGCAAAGCATGTCTCCTAGGAACTGTTGTTCAGGGAGGGGTGCGGACGGACACACAAAACTCTTGCATTAGAAATCTCAAGCAGAACTTTCAATTGTTTTGCTAAGATGCTCTTCCCAAAGCATGTGACAAACTGTTTTTAAAACTGCTATACGTTTATAGTGTCAGTTCCACCTGAGATTACAGCAGGGCTACAGAAAACCAAAAGAGTTACCTGGGCTTTTAAGGGCACAATCTTCTAACTGCCAGCAACCTACTGTTTTGCTTTTTCAGGCTGCTGAGATGGCAGAGCTCACTGGCCGGATCTCGCAGCTGGAAGTGGCCCGGCAGAAGAAAGAGAGCGAGGCGATGGAGTGGCAGCAGAAAGTGAGTGGGCCGTTTCCCCCCTTCCCTCCCCTTCGCCATCCCCAGAGGCCTGGCCTCTCCGGCATGGTGGCAGCAGTGGTGTGGTGGTTCCCAAACGACTGCAGCTGTCAGTCACAGAGCAGGAGGAGGACCGGTGTGAGAACTGGTGGTCGGTGCTCCTGGGCACAGGTGCTTCCCAGTCCGTGATTTCCAATGCATACGGTGCTCTCCTGCCAGGACAAGTTCATCTTCTTTTTAGTTGCATGTTCCTTACATGTGTAGAAATAGCTGGCCTGAGCAGGCAGATCCCTCTGTGGATATTATGGAGTCCTGGGCAGACGGCCTCAAACGTCACGGGTTTTGGTAAGAAGCCTTTGTCTCTCTTTAGAAACCTGCAACTGATAACCCTTCTTAGTTCATTTGAACTGCTCTTCTTGCAAACTTTGGTTGGGCCAAGATTGATTTCTCTTCCAATCCACCAAGGTGCTAGATTCTGCCAAATCACTTGTTGTGCAAAATGAATTCACTGCCAACAATTTGGAAAACAGAACACAACTTGCAGTCTGAAAGCTATAGCCCTACAGTAACAATACAATTATAGCAGTGATAGCAATTATACTTTCCCCTGATTTCCCCTGTCACTCATTAACCATTCATACACATAATTGTCAGCTACCTTGTGCCGTGTAATGACAGCCCATCAGATCTTGCCTGGGCCCACAGCAAAACAAGTGGACTCTCTTCCTGTCCTGCTCACTCTTCAGCCCTGCGTGTCCAAACCAGCCAGTTCCTCAGGGTTATAAGTGTGTTTGGTAGGGAGGCCAGAAGTCCCGCATGTAAATATGCTGCAAAATGAAATATCCTGAACAAATGTGTGAGAAAGAGCACTTGCTTATGGCAGCATTTCATAGAAGCATAAATTCTTAGAGTTGGAAGAGACCTCCAGGGTCATCTAGTCCAACCCCCTGCACAATGCAGGAAATTCACAACTACCTCTCCCCACACTTCCAGTGACCCCTGCTCTGTGCCCAGAAGATGAGGCAACCCTTCCTGCCCTCCCTCTCATGATCCACCCAAGTTCACGGAATCCGCACTGCTGTCAGATGGGGCCCTCTAGCCTCTGCTTAAAAAACTCCCAAGAAGGAGAGCCCACCACCACCTCCCAGGGAAGCCTGTTCCCCTGAGAGACCGCTCTGTCAAGAAGTTCTTCGTAACTGAAAACTCTTTTGATTTAATCTCAACCCATTAGTTCTGGTCCGACCTTCTGGGGCAACAGAAAACCACACCATCCTCTAGAAGATGGTTATCATATCGCCTCTCAGTCATCTCCTCTCCAGGCTAAACTTACCCAGTTCCTTCAGCCTTTCCTCATAGGACTTTGTCTCCAGACCCCTCACCATCTTTGTTGCTCTCCTCTGGACATGTTCCAGCTTGTCTATATCCTTCTTAAATTGTGGTGCCCCAAACTGAACACAATACTCCAGGTGAGGTCTAACCAGAGCAGAGTAAAGTGATACCGTCACTTTGCACGATCTGGGCACTATATTTCTCTTGATACAGCCCAAAATGGCATTTGCCTTTTTAGCTACTACATCACACTGCTGTCTCATGTTCGGTGTATGGTCTACTAAGACTCCTGGATCCTCTTCGCACATACTGCTGCCAAGACAAGTCTCCCCCATCCTATAATTATGCATTTGATTTTTCCTACCTAAATGCATTTGGTCTAGAACTGCCAGTTTTGGAAAGGGAGCCTGCCTTTTTCAACTCTTAAAGCGAATAGTGTAAGGCTGTGCCAACTTCACGCTCCCACTATTACTGCATGTGCATTTTCGGACAGGCAATCCTTCCAAAGGTCTAATGTGAGCACCAGGTGGATGGGGGCGGTCCTTGCTTCAGTTATGGATCTCCAAGTTGTATCTGTAGAAGTATGTTATGATTGAGCACCTCTTCTTTTTCCTATCATTTAAAAAAAAATCAGAACCTGGTATTCTGTATGCAATTGTATGCACGGCAGTGTGCTCTGTTCTAGACCTCTGACTGGATGGCACTGTGGTTTCAAATACTACCCGTGGCTGCCCATAATACGTAAAAATGAAGTGCAAATGAAATGCTTCTAATTAGCAGTTCTGAGCTGCATCAAGTGAAGCTATTAGGATATAACAATTAAAAGAGTAGGGGATCTGCAAGAACTGCAGAGGGCATCTCATTTTCCCCTTCCCCACTATTTCCTCTTTCCTGTCCCTGAAAGCCCCCACAGCCTCTCCCCTTTTACTTCCTTCTGTCCTCCCCACCCACCAGCTTTAAGCATTGTACCATAACTGGCTTCCGTGGGGCGGCTGCTGTTGAACAGTAGCCAGTCTCGGGTAAGTCGTGTAAGTCACGTAGCCAATTGCCAGGTGGCTGCTGCCCAGCCTGGCCCCAGTAATTCCTCCCTCAAAAGCTAAAAGGGCTCGACCCCTCCCCCCGGCCTTTTACTGACAGAAACCAGGGATTCAGTACTGGCAGTACTGTTGTGGTTGCCAAACAACAGCCACTGAGGGGGCATTTGTTTATTAAAGGTGCTGCTTCCATTATTTGGGGAGGTAACCCCCAAATGTAAACTTTTTTTGGATAGATTTCAGATTTGTTTGTAAACCTGGGTCTTTCCTTCAGTTTGTAGAAATATTTATCTTGTTAGTTCACAGTTCCAGTCTCCAAATTTTAAGTATCCACAGATCTGGCCACGTGGATCCTACCAGCTTGCCTGCTGATGAAAAACTCCTAAAGAGGAAATGCCGGGAGTCATTATATGTGGGATGGGGCTGCAGTAAAGAAACAAACTGGGCAAGGCTCCCCCTTCCCTCTTGCACTGGTGGAAAAACCGTCAGGATCCAGGATCCATACTTCTACAGGTGTTTTGTGTCGCACTTGTGCTTAGTTGAGGAGTCTCCAGTAATTTGGCTTTTTGCATGATTGCCACCATTGCTTGTCTCTTTAAAGGCACTTGTTGCTCGGCACACAACCTGTTACAGCGCTGGAAAACCAGTGAAAGTGCTCGTGAATTTTAGGGCTTCTGATGTGGTGGCAACCCTTAGCGTTAGACTTCCCCCTCTGGTGATAAACGTTGAAGGAAGAAGTAAGGCAGATCCCCTCATGAGAATTTCCTTGCGTCACTAGCTTGCTAATGGGATGCTGTCCTCTCCTTGCAGGCTCAAATGGTTCAGGAAGACCTGGAGAAGACCAAAGAGGAGCTGAAGACGGCCACGAGCACCCCTCACGTCCCAGAGCCCATGCAGTCCGAGAACGAGCACGATGACGAGCAGGACGAGAACACCGCCGAGGCCAGTGCAGAGCTGAAGGCTCACGCCTCCACCAAGGACCGCAGCGAGGAGCAACGGACTACGGAGGCAGAGAAGAATGAACGGGTGCAGAAGCATTTGAAGGTAAGGGGGGATTGGAGGGGGGCCGGGGGCCGGGAGAGACCTGCCTTCCTCCTGGGCCCAGGCGCAGACCCACAGCATGTGGCTTTCCTCAGCAGTGGCAGCCCACTATCCCCCTCCCTCGCAGAGTGCATTGGGAGTATCAGAACTCCGGAAGCTGAGGGGGTTCTCCTCTGTCGTGATCCTCACAGAGTCTGACATTAGAAGTGATTGGTCAGCTAGCCAGGCCTCAAAGCCTGCGGGTCTGGCCTCGGCCTTCTCTAGCGGAAGAAACGGCGCTGTGAGCACTGGTCCCCGTGGGTCCCCTCTGCACTAACGGACTGTGTGAAAAAGAGCCCAGTGACATTATTTTTCACTCCATCCGTGTGTGTCTCCAGTCCTCCAGAAACTGAGGTCATTCAATTACTGCTCTTTCAACCGTTGTCATATAAAGGAGCACACAATCAGATAACGCAAACTGGGCAGGTGGCTCTTTAAAGACACTATGCTATATATAACTGGCGCCAAATATTTGGCCACCTGCACAGTAACTTGGTTTTCTACACCTCTTAGTAACCAAGAAATTTTCTCATCCGGGGAGTCAAAGCACAAGTACTGGGAGAATTAAGTTGGGTCTTAAATCTGAAAATACAGGGTAATTCTATGGTCGATACAGTTTATTTGATCTGAACCGTAGGTACACAATCTATCAGAAAACAGTATTCTTTGGTATCTTCCTATTAAAACTGCAGACAGCAACCATTCTACCGTGCTAACATAAATGCCCTTCTATATCTTGGTATTGTCTGCAGAAAAAAAATATCTTAACAAAAAAGAAAACACAGTGGTCAAACAAGACAAAACACCATGACTATAGGCTGATAAACACACAACTGAAATATATCTGAAACAATATTTCCAAACTTCTTATTTAATAACTTGTTCCATTAATTGTATAAAGCATTTATAAGTCAGAAAAATTACAAAATTAATTCAGAATGAATGTACAAATAATTGTCCCAAGATACTACAATGTGGAGAGCAAAAAGAATTATTGGATCAGAATGCAGACAAAATAAATTTACACAAAACGTCGTCTGCACAGTTCCAAATCGAGATTTATTTATTTTCATTACATTTATACCCCGCCCTTCCCGCAAGCAGGCTCAGGGCGGCTCACACGAGGCACAAAGTGCATATAAGTTACAGTATAAAAATACATAAAAACAATTTAAGAATTGCACCAAAACTCAGTGGAAGTTCTGACTGACAAGCGCCCAGGTTTCAGCTCGTTTCACTGGTTGTCTTCCTCAAAGTCAGATCAGCTCCATAAATAGAGGCTGTCTTACCATTCTTAGTCTAGAACCAAAATCCGAAAGTAAATTCAAACAGGAGAAGCCGATCACAAGCTTAAGGTCCATGTGACTGACTGAAGAAGGCAGCAGGCAAAGGATCCGTCTGCCACTGAGCTGCTGGTCTTCTCCAGTCTCTGATACAGTCGTCGCTACGCGGGGGGGGGCGGGCGGGGCGCTCTTGGCAGTGTGAATCGAGGGGGGGGCGGGGGGGCGTGGACTCTGCTGAGGCCTCCTCCCCATACAGCCCTTTCACCTGACTGATCAGAGCCCGGGGGAGGGGACGAGGATTCCCCTAGCAGCCCTAGTCCTCATGGCTAGTTGGTCAGGGAATGTTCACCAGGTCATCAGCTGAATGACCCCTCCCATGCTTTCAGTTATGCCTGGAACGTACTGACGGGCCCTGTCTCTCCTTCCCCCCCCCCCCTTCTACAGGCTCTGACATCTGAACTGGCCAACGCCCGGGACGAAACGAAGAAGACGGTCAACGACATGCTCCATGCGGAGAACATGAGGCAGGGCCGCGACAAGTACAAGACGCTGCGCCAGATCCGGCAGGGCAACACCAAGCAGCGTATCGACGAATTCGAGTCCATGTAACCACTCCTGCCCCCACGGCCCCCGTCCCCAGCCCCCCTCCATTTCCTTTCCCTCGCTACTCATGTGTAACTCTTGTCCTGGAGCCATTACAGGGGAACGGTCCCAGTCAGTCAGAGGGTTCTGTGCAGGGGGCGCCAGCCAGCATAGGACCAAACAGTCCCTCGTGCCTTCTTTTGACTTTCTGACAGTAGTAAGGTCCTTCACTTACTGTGAGCGAAGCAAACAAACCCCCCATTCTGCGTGGCTTTCTGATGCCTCGTATCAGCCCCGTGCTGCAGGTACGGGTCTCATTTCAAACCCCTCCACACAGCCCAGTCTCACTCTGGTTGCTGCAGTACTGTTGGCCTGGTACAGGTTCTCTGCTTTTCAAACAGAGATCACTTTGACATTAAACGGCAGTAGAATTTAACAGAAACTGGGTTAAATGCAGAGTGCAGCATCTGTGCCTTTTTCCTAAAGACCAAAGTTGTTTGTGGCTTCCCAGGGTCCAGCAGGCCCAGCCTGATGCTCCTTATCTCCTTGGTGCCTTGTCTGTCCCACTAGCTAAGAGGCTGGGTTCCTTTAGCCACCTATTCTGGGTTGGTCTAGTTTGGGAACATCTTGCCGCAAAATACATTTTTTGTGTGTCCATGAGCAGGGAAGTTTTGTACAGCCGCAGAGATTTGTGGTCATTCATATCGCCAACATAAGTCCGGCGGATTATTTTTCCTAGGGGGTGCAGAAGCAAAATGCCGCAAGTGGACTTTCGGCCGAGGGATTCCGGAACACCCCAGACATGCTTAAGGTGCCTTACAGAGGATTCCTTCCCTCTTCCGAAAGCACGAGCT